TTTTGCGCAGCTCGTCAGTGAACAACGGCTCTGTGTAGTTAATGCTGCTCAATGTGAAAGCCCGCAGGTGATGGAGATTTACCGCTGATTACAGAACCGGTTTTCTGACAAGATGCGCGTTAAATATCGCATGCGATTTATCGTGCAGCCCTAATAAAAACCAACAATAATCTCCACATTATAAAGTCAAAATATAATTGCAAATTGAAAGAAACACTAGGCTAATCTATCTTATATTTGAAACTTGCCAGTGTGTATTGTAAATGTTGCTCTTATGATAAAGTGTTTGTGATGATCCGTATTTGTAAGTGGCTTTGAATAAATTGAATTTATGAATGTAAGAAACACTACGCTTCGAGTCCCAATTCAAATCAGTTTTACAGAAGAGTTTTAAATTAAGAGTATAAATTAAATGCACTAAAAGTCATATGCTTTATTCTCTTCATTGCATATCTACATTGCTTCAAAAATGTTTTATTTTTCTGTAAATGTCCCTAGATGTGTAATTCATGCTTTTTGAGAGGCAAAATGTCTAATAATGTTTTAAAGGTGCACCAAATAAAAACTGCGGTATCTAAAGATATGCATAGAATTTTTGACCAGTGTTATTTTAGTATCAGTGCGGGTTTTTATTAATAGTTTGAATTAGTTTAAATTTTTATGGTTTCTGTTTTATTTCAGTTTTAGTTCAAATGTTGGTTTTGTGTTTTTGTCATTTTTATTAGTGGGGGTTTTTTTGTTTTAGTTTTTTTGTATATCAAGTAAATAATGAAAATGAGCAACGATTCCTTAGGAAATAGTTGAATTAAAATTAAAACTTAATTTAAAAAAATGTCTTTTATATTTTATTTCAATATTGAAGTGAATATTGCATTTTATTTAATAAAAAAAAGCCATAATCTTTATTAAAAGCCCAAATTGTATGCATTGCAGGGTTCACTAACAGATTACCTGAAGGGAAACCCGGTGAGCTGGCCTCAGTTGTGCCATATTTCTGCAAGTATGTCCCGTGGCCTGGCGTACCTTCATGAAGACCTTCCTTACCGAGCAGAGGGACCCAAACCCGCCATCGCACACAGGTACATGCGCTGAAGCGAATCTCAAGCTTTTACAACATCAATACAGATCTGAAAGGAAAGTGATGTTTGAGCATTTGATATGTCATTTTAAAAGAGATTTGTAAATATTGTGCTCTTGCTGTATAGTGATAAGCAAGAGGAAGTCTGTAGATACTGGGTGATTTGAACTTTGTGATTTGCAGAGACTTCAAGAGTAAGAATGTCCTGCTCAAGACTGATTTGACCGCAGTGATTGCAGACTTTGGGTTGGCTGTCTGCTTCGAGCCTGGGAAACCGCCTGGAGATACACACGGCCAGGTGAGTGTCTCAAAGATGAAGCCAAGCCTTTGACTACAGTTCAGTCCATCTGCCTCTTCATATCCATGCTAAATATGGGAATTAATGCACTGAAGTTACCTAATAAAAACTCTACTCTTCAGCTCTGGGTTGGTAAAAATAATGTTTTTGAAAGACTGCAGTTATTTGAACAAAATTGAAGTAAAAACGGTAATATTGTGAAATATTATTACAATTTAAAAGAGCTGTTTTATACTTGAATATGTAATTTATTCCTGTGATCAAAGCTGAATTTTCAGCATCATTCAGTGTCACATGATCCTTCAGAAATCATTCTATTATGCTTATTTGCTGCTCAAGAAACATTTCTGATTGTCGATGTTGAAAAAAGTTGTGCTGATTCATATTTGTGGAAACCGTTATACTTTTTTTTTT